AAAAAAGTCTAAAAAATGTTTTTTTGGATCTTCAAAGTGGGGGAAGGTTTATTAAAAACAAAAATGTTGACTTTTGAAAAGGGATAAACTGTTTTTTTCCCATTTTCGAACCCCAGGGGGGAAAAAAAGCAGGAAAGGATCTAGGGGGGGGGGGCAGGGGGGGCCCCCCCCCCCCCCCCCCCACCTGAGATGACCTACGGTTTTCTAATACAACTGGTATTCTGCAAAAAAAAAAACTATGTGGTTTATTGGTGTTGAAGTAGAGCAAGAGACGAGTGCACCCCCTCCTAAAAAAATTCCTGGATCCGCCCCTGTAAAGGGGCCAGAGATAATATCCCACATAGGCCCTTTACCCATCGTAATCCTCTTTTAATTCATCCTCTCTTGTCAAACATCATTATAAAGAATAAAACAAACTTTCGATACTTCAATATCAAAGTGTTTTACTATATACGAAGTATATAGTGCCACTTGAATGTCCCACTGAAAAGATTTATTTGTATTGCTATTTATCTGCAAACTCAAAATTTAGTTTGAAATGGATGTGTTCCGGAAATGCACTGACGGAATTGGACAACGCTGGAGTCTCTAGGTCATGTTCAAACGGCGTTCGATAGCGCTATCTATCGGATGAAATTATACTACCCAGCTGCTAAAGTATTAGGGAGATCATATTGCGCTATAGACTCCTATTCATGATCAGTGGATAGAGATTTATCCAGGCAGTGCATAGCGGTATCTACGTACCTTTTGAACTAAGGCCCGGTTAAGACAGAACGGGAATGGTTATGTACTGGTTCTGCCCTACAGCTGGAAGTCGTAAAATGGAAAGTAAAGAGATACTCACTGATTTCATCGAAACACAATTCGTTGTTTTCACCAACTACTTTTACCGAGACTCTGCAGATGGTAATAATCTGAGTGCAGTCTATGGGCGAGTTTTGTTTTTGAAGACGTATAAGTCCACCACCCCGTCCTCCTCCCTTGCCCTAGAGATACTTTAATACTAATTTAGCAACGCTTCAGTTTTGATCGGGAGGGGGGAAGGGGGGAAGCGGGGTAGCTTCAGTGAAATTACAGAATGAAATTGCTTATTCCAGTTGGATAATAATTTTTGATGGTGCCTATTGTATCACACAGTACAAGCACAACTTGAGAAAGTAGTTCAACATCTATACCATCCAAGGCTCCGTTTTAGTGTGAAACTGTAGAGAGTTACTTGAAATGGTGTTTATACAGCAACGGGAGTATTCACTGCCTGGGACTCCGTGAGTTAAACGAAGAAGCTTTTATTATTATTACAGCGTATATTGGGCGTTTATTCGATGAAAGGCATTTATATGGAAGTGGGCGTTTATTAGGTCATTTCTGACAATATGTATCAAGTCAACGAAGAATAAACATGCTATACCAAGAGATGCAAAATACCCATTTTCATAATCAAAATGCAGTAAATACAAAATGAGATGATTGAGTGGTGAGCATAGAAAGTACATTAATATTCATACCTTAACATGTGATATTTTAAAAGATAAAAGATAAAAACCTCAGTTGCGTTGCTTATAAAACAACGAAAACGATAACTTACAAATGTTCTACAAGTTTTCTACATCTATTACTACACACTAAGCAACATTACAAAAACAGACTCTATTGCTGAAAGTGGATCATCTAAGCCTTAAATACCAGTCCATCAAAGTCATTAGACTTTTTACATACTGTAAACTTCCACTAAAAGTCCTGGGCTTGATACAACGTCTTAAGGGTCGCCCCATGTAAGGGGAATCCTGGATAGTCTTGGATTGTGGATTCCACGCTGTGGATTCCGGATTCAAGGCACTGGATTCCAGTCTTTGACATTGGAACTTGGAGTCTGGATTTCAATCGTTGGTGGGATTCCGAATTCTTCCGCATTATTCCGGATTCCACAAGCAAAACTTTCCCGAATTTTGGAATTCCTTATATGGAGCGATAAGGGGTCATAGGGGGGCTTTAAAAAGGGGGGGGGAGGGGTCATATCCAGCGGGGCTTATAACTTTTCAAAACAAGTTACAAAGCAGTGCTGATCAAACTACATCTTGAATTCACTCGCGTTTTTATGCTTCAAAACGTCGTAAAAAATCAATTCAATACAAGCTAGAGGGGGCCTTATGTTCGGCAGGGCTAATAACCAGATGTACTTTTAGTTTACAGGTAGATAGGGGCCTTATAAGTGAGGCGGGGGGGGGGGTTGGGGGGTGGGGCATATAAACGGAAGTTTACGGTATTCAGCCACTGGCCCATGAGGACCCGGGGTTTAAACCCTTGAGCCAGTGCTTTGCACACGAATTGAACCAAATGCTGATGTACGTCTGTGAAAGGATTTACGTTAATTGTTGAAAATAGACTTTTAGCCTTGTGAAGTCCCCTAATATTAGTCCATTGAAGTGATTATATTTTTTACAAATTCAATAACCCTAGAGTCTCCGACCATGGCCATGTGTTCCGCCTTGGAAAATGATTTTATCACCCCTTGTTGCTCCTGTTTACCCACAAAAGAGTGACAAGCTTGCAGGCTGCGAATATTAACTGTGCCATCACCATCTCCAAACTTAGTTTTGGGGAAAGTGTCAGGAAATTCGTCCACTTTATAAAATAATTTTTCGGGGGTGGGTATATCAGTACCATACAGACAATACAGAGTCACATTGGGTGGTTCTCTAATCCAAATCGGCGGGACAAGTCCAGTGATGTTGATAGCATCAGGGTATCCAATATCTAAAAATAACTTCTTTAGGTTGCCCAAAGAGTAGTTCTGATTGGCTGTTTGGACAATTACCTGCAAGAATATTGATAGCATATTGATGTTGAACATTTTTTGTTAATTTTTTACAATACAGAAAAAGATGATCTATTTCAAACATTTTTTTCTGTGTACAGTGCTTTGAATACTATTGAACTCATAAATTGGCCTTATAGAAAAATCTGCCCAAGCCAATTACTGGGACTTACAACCCTGGGACTCAATAAATACAGTACTACCCTAGCACCAGTCTACCTGCCTTGTACATGTAAGTAAAACATGGTGGAAAGTAGGAAGGAATGTGCGAGTGCTAAAGTAACCACAAGCACCAGGGTTACCCTCCCTTCTCATAAACGGGCCCTACAAAACAGGAGTTGAATTACTAAAATGTACAGGATAGTATATCATTGGCATTTTCAACCAAAAAATTGTACTAAAAAGGGACGTTTGACTTTGGGAGTCTGGGAGTCTGTAAAAAAATTACTTATTACACAAGTGCATGTACTAGAAAAGAGGAAACAAAAAAAGTAATAATAAGCGCATACTTCTTCGGTTTTCAAAGAACTGACAAGATAAATAGAAATTATTTTTCATCTGTTGAAAACCGATGCATCTTTTCCACAAGAAATAACTAGAACCTCTCAGACTTACAGGAGCAAGAGCCATAATATTATTATCTCTTAACAGGAGACAAAACCTGTCCGCGTGTCCTGAGTGTTGCGCATTTCTTTTGCATCATGCGCGACTACCTTGGCATGCACAGAAAATGTGTGCAGTAACAATAGTGGGCACCGTCTTTAAGTGAAGTGGCAGTTGCAAAGATCTAGATCGCTTTATAGTAATTTACTGATAATGTTATCCCCCAGGACTCCCGTAAATGGCCACTAAATACAGGGGTCCTCTTTATTCTCGAAGTTAAAAGAGGTTCGACAGTTTCACTGGGGAATAGTAGATTTTAGCAAGGGCTAATGAAATCAACACAAAAATGAGGTAACCATGCATGAAGTTATGATTCAGAGTAGCGTTTAGCAGGTAAACATCAACACGTTTTTTTTTTTTTTGTTCATCAACCGAGCAAAAATAAATTTGTTCAGGAATGTATGGCACCTTCCTTTACTTTGATAAATTTTCACAAACACACATATCTCGTCTCCGAGGCCTTTTCACAGTACTGGACAGCAGAGTGAGGCTTTGGGAGTATCATGCCCATCATAGTAGCAATTAGCATAAGAAAGTGGTCTGGGGACGACACTACTTGTGCGCAACCGCGACGTTTTAAACTTCGGCTTTTCTAGGAATCGCGTTGCTTCAATCGTCTCAATTATTATACCTTCAGCAATGGCTCAAAGTAAAAGCTTTTTCGATGATGTTAAAAAGGAGTTAGAATGTTCCGTGTGCCAGGAGTTGTTCAGTGAAGTCAACGAACCCAAAATTCTAAAATGTCTCCACACTTTCTGTAAGAATTGTCTGGAAGCTTGGTTGAGCAGGCAGCGTGAAGGACAGCTAAGTTGTCCGACATGTCGTCAAATCACCGAGTGTCCTAACAGCAACATTAACAGCTTCCCATCCAACCTTTTCTACAAACAGATGGTGGAGATTGTAGAGGCCTATAGTGGTAAAGGACAATTAGAAGATGATTCGCTGCGTTGTGGGAACTGTGAGGAGAAAAAGCCTCTGAAGTTTTATTGCTTTGACTGTAACACCTTCTTGTGTGAGGAATGCGCTGGCGCCCACAGCACATGGAAGTTGTTTAAAGGCCACCTTGTCAAGGAAATTGGAAAATTTGAGTCGAGCGATATGCAAGATTACGCCCGAAAATCCAACGTATGTAAGAAACACAAGGATGAGCTAAGATTTTACTGTGAAAACTGCAACATTTGCATTTGTCGTGATTGCGCCATACTCGAGCACCGTGACGATAAGAGCCACAACATAGTTTCACTTGAGCAAGGATTTGAAAACAAGAAATCCGACATACTTAGTAAAATGAAAGACATTGAAGCAATTGCAAGTCGTTTAAGGGTCCAAAAACAAACGTTGGAGAAGAAAAAATTTAGGATGCTTGAAAGCATTGATCAAGCGACGGGTGAAATTCACCGAGTCGCAGAACAATGGATCAGCTTCATTCGCCAAAATGAGGCAGCCATGAACAATAAGTTGCTCGAGCAGAAAAATTCTTTTCGAGGTACATTTTCTGCCCAGATGTCCCGCTTAGACGAGAAACTCATTGAGATAGGCAATAGCTTGGTATTTAGCAGCGACGTTCTCGCTCGAGAAAATCTACCAGAGATTTTGAACGTGGAAGAAATATTAGATCAAAGGTTTCAAGAACTTTCTTCGGAATTTCTCGTCAGTCTGAATTTTTCATGCGTTAAGTACGTTCCAAATGATGCATCACCGTCAATTATGAACGACGCGCTTGGAAAGTTAATCTTCACTAAAACCGACCCTATGCTCACGACAACAGATGGCAAGGGACTTACCGAAGGTACTGAAAACAAAGTGTGCTCTTTCAAGATAGAAACAAGGGATTCGCGGAGACAAATAACTTACTCTAGGGTAGACAAAGTCGGTGTTGACATCCGATCAGTGGATACAGGAAACGTCATAGCCCCCGAAATAACAGACTTAAAAAATGGCTGCTACGAAGTAAAGTACAAACCCAAGATTGCAGGAAAATTTGAAGTGTGTATAACTGTACACGGTGAAGCAATCGTTGGCAGTCCTTTCCGACTTGAAGTGAATGAAAAGAGAAGGCAATCCCAACCGTCAGGTATTGTCAAAAGTGCTTAGTCTCAGTTGTGTAGAAAGATCGGTTAGTACACTAAAGTAACAAAGAAGGCTAACTCACTTAACTGGTTTAACAAGTGTAATTGGATATAAGATAGATGTCACGAGGAACACTTGCTAAAACGGATTTATAGCCTACAAAGACAGCTGACAATTGAAAACTGGTTAGCTTACAAATAAATTAGTTCTGCCTTTGTTCTGACACGTGTAAATGGTTAGTCCTTGTAGTCCTTGTAGTAGGACGAAATACTGTAGGCCCATTTCAAGGCACTTCATTGATCTGTCTCTCGTGGGGCGTCAAGGAACCATAAAGGATAACGCCGTAACATTTTCTGACCATGACCATGCATCCTTAGTGCAGTGTTAGTGTCTAAGTTTCATGGGGTGTGGTGCTATGCAGGGAGGGCAACTCGCCTGGGACTTGTATATAAGATTCGTTTGTGCCCCTTCCCATATTATGATGGGTCTTGCGCATCATAAAGCTGGGAAAATATAATTTATGATTAATCGAATCTTATTCAGGAGCGCGACAGACTAATTATGAACAGTGTAGATTCGGCAATTCGGGTCAAACCAGACAAACCTTGTTATAGCATGTTACCTCATTTTTCTTTTTGTTTCAGGGAATAAAGTATCATTCTTTTTCGACTTCATTTTATCTTAACATTTTATGAAGGGTGTGTAAACAGAAGAATAAAAAAATAAGAAAGAAGTTTGAAAAAAAAAAGAAAACAAGAATAAGTAACATAAACCAACGGGAGAAAATGGAGGGTAATTTTGTATTTTTAATTTAATTTTAGGATATTTACAGACGCAACATTTAGTTCATGTACTGGACAACAAAGTGAAGTTATCCTTATATAAGGGAGATATCACTAACGAGCGGGTTGACGCCATCGTCAATGCAGCCAATGAATGGCTTCGGCATGGCGGTGGAGTGGCTGCTGCAATAGTGAGCAAAGGGGGACGTCAGATACAAGACGAGTCCACGTGGATAGTACAGAAGTATGGGCCACTTGATGTTGGCGGGGCTACTTATACATGTGCCGGCAATCTTCCTTGTCGCTATGTGATTCACACAGTTGGTCCAGAGTGGAAGAAACATGGGAAAGAGAACTGCAAGCATTTTCTTCACAGAGCTTGTTTGGAAAGTCTTCATATTGCAGCAGTGGATTTAGAACTTTCTTCCATAGCTCTTACAGCAATCAGTTCTGGTATTTTTGGCATGCCGAAAGAAATTTGCGCTCAAATTATGGTAAGTGCAGTGGAAGCATTTAGTTCAAGTAAAGAAGCCGAATTCAGTACCCTGCGTGACGTGCGCATCGTCATCATTGATGAGCCGACGTTAAGCGTCTTTCAAAAAGAGTTTGTTACCCGCTATCTTTCCCAAGAAGCACCGCCAAAAACAATGACTACTCGAGAAAGTCTGCAAGATGAGCATAGAGTAACTCCTCCTACCCCACATTCACTAGTTGATGAGCCAGAAGATTCATCTCCTTTGACAGATGAAACTGGCAGGGCAGCGATGACAACTCTCTCCAAGGGCAACGAGAAGAGAACATAGATGGTAGCTCACCGCCAAACAACTTACACAGGGAGGGGATGAAAACTCTCCCTGAGGACAACCAGAAGAGAATATAGATGGTAGCAGGGGGGGCTGGCAGCGAAGTCTGGAACCGAGTTTACATGATCGCCCCAGTTAAGAAATTTGGCCGAGTGAGACTGAGTACCAATTTTCCTTCAAAACAAATATGGCGGAGAATGCGGACATGGAAAGATGATGAGTTTTTGCTCGGTTTTACGTTTTACGGCGTCCAAACATCAAGAAAAGGTTTTCATGAACTTTTTTCATGAAATTTTTGGACATCAGGAGGCGTGATGTATGAACAGTTCATGAGTGACTTCGCTCATCGTGATTCGGCACCTTGGCAAGTTCAGTTATTTATAAGCTTCGTGAATTTTCGAGCGACCA